TTTGATAGACGTTATCTGCCCCAAAGGACTCATTATCATCATCATCGTCGTCAAAGACAACAACATCAAAAGCAACAGCAGCAATAGCAACAAAAACACCAACAAAAACACCCCCCCCCACCACCACCACTATCAACAACAACAACAACAACAACAACAGCAACTACAACAACAACAACAACAGCAGCAACTACAACAACAACAACAACAACAACAGCAGCAACTACAACAACAATAACAACAACAACAACTACAACAACAACAACAACAACAACAACAGCAGCAGCAACTACAACAACAACAACAACAACAACAACAGTAGCAACTACAACAACAACAACAACAACAGCAGCAACTACAACAACAACAACAATAACAATATAAAAAATGAATTAAAGCCCTGATCGCTAGACACTGTAGATTGAAGGGTGAACGTGACCACGCACATAAATTTGGGCGATCACTTAATAAAGAGATCATTTGGTCGCTTTTAAACACAACTAGGCTATCCCGAAAAACGCTGTTTCAAGAAAATCGAAGGTAAAGTTTTTACCCCTTGTTCAGTTTCTTTAAAAGACATGGAGTGTTTTCTCTATAACTAAAAAATTATACACACCAAGGCTACCGGACTTGTAATCCTGAGATTGCAAGTTTGGGAGTTCGAGCCTGAGCTCGGTCCGACGTTGTGTCCTTGGGAAAGGCACTTTACACGAATTTCCCATTTGGCTCGGTCCTTTCGGAGATGGACTTTAAACTCGGAGGCCCCGCCTCTTAAACGTTGATAGGGGCGTTTAACCTATACCATTTCACCAGTGTTTCAGAGCCAAATGGGAAATTCGCGTAAAGTGCCTTTCCCAAGAACACAACGTCGAGGACCGACATGAGACTCGAACCCCCGAACCCGCAATCTCACGACTACGAGTCCGGTAGCCTAACCACTAGGCCGCCGACGCCACTCCTCAGTGAGTTGATCAACTCCGGTCTTACTATCAATAATCATCCTACATGACCTGTTGGAAAAACAGACACGCTCGACTTAAAATGAGTAACGGCACGGTGGAATCAGGCGCTCTTCAGTTTTTGAACATATTATTGTAATCAAGTTAATTGTAAGTTTATTAAGCTTGGTTATTCGCTTACCTGGGATGAAAAAATGTCCATCATCCTTGAATGGAGGTTGAAATATTTGCGGTTGAATGGAAGGGGTTTTCTGATGTCGGAAGTTAACTAAGCGAGAAAATGGCCGTCAAAGACTGGCGAGGTCCAAAGCTTGTGCGCCATTGAAAACTAAATTTCTTTTTTTGTGCGCATTTGATCAACTTTTGCAGCAAAATAACATACAAAAATATGTTTTAAAGACACATAAAAGGTGTTTAGTCTCTCTCTCTCTCCCCCCCCCCCTCTCTCTCTCTCTCTCTCTCTCTCTCTCTCTCTCTCTCTCTCTCTCTCCCCCCTCTCCCTCTCTCCCTCTCTCTTTCTCTCTCTTTCTCTCTCTCTCCCCCCCATCCCCCTGATATATATGTATATATATATATATATATATATATATATATATATATATATATATATATATATATATATATATATATATATATATGTACATTTTTAAAACATTATTTCAATTGCCCTGTTGGTGGAAAAATTATGCCGGTTTCTTCAATTTCATTATTTTGACGAGCGCCTGATTTCACTATGATGCCAGAAAATGCCATGTGGTGCCACAGTGCCTGTTGTCACGTACCTGCACCAGCAGATAGACCTGGTCGGACAGCGGTCTGCTGATTAAGGTGACCACTCCCGTGTTTGGATCAATCTCCAAGATATCTCCGTCTTGACCTGGGCGATACACAACCATGACATATAATAATTATAATCAAATAGTCACAATAGAAGAGTATTGAACTTTTGCACAGGAAGTCAATCTCCTTTTTTAGTTTTAGTAGAGGTTTTATGGCGCTCGCAACTGCATACGGTCATATGAGCGCCAGAAGATTAGAGCTGTTACAAGAGAGTAACAAACATAAAAAAAGATGAAGGGGAGATAAGGACGATAGATGTTTGATAGGAAAGAAGGAGCAAACCACACCAGAGCACCCGCCAACCACCTACAGTCCATCTCCGTGCGTTTGAACTGGCCATGCTCAATGTAAAAAAAGTAGTCCAACATTGTTTTAAAAAAAATATGTATGTACAAAACAAAAATGGAAAAAAGACATACAACTGTAAAACACTTGGAGATCTGTACAAACTCACGTAAAAAAACCCATTCACTTACTCGTAAGTACACAGTAATATAAAATATTATCGAGATGTGAAACCGATAATAATAATAATAATAGTATCACGCTGACCGGGTACATAGCAGCATAAGTAGCCCAACATTGACACACTCTGTGTGTGTGTGTGTGTGTGTGTGGGGGGGGGGGGGGGGGTTAAAACTATATTCTAGAGGGAAGAGAACATGTAACATGAGGGAAATATTTCTTCATTCTTTTGAGGTTTGTGGGAGTGGATTGTTTTTTGTTTTTGTTTTTGTTGTTTTGTTTTGTCTTTTGTTGTTTACCTTTTCTATTTGAAGGCAATACAAGAAGCACTGTGGGAGAGGACATAATTATGAGAATATCAAGCTTTCACTTCTTAATTTTAAAGTCAAAGGCAAAAGGATTGCAACTGATAAATTGTGACTTTTCCTACTCCCTTCCCCTTCCCAGTACACATCTGTCAACAATCAAGCAAGAATATTATCCAACGACAAGACATCATACTTCCAGCTCAATTGGTCGCTTTTAAGCACAAGGGGGCTATCCCGAAAAATGCTGTCTCGGGAAAATAGAAGGTAAAGTGTTTGCCCCTTGTTCAGTTTCTTTAAAATACAAGGAGAGTTTTCTCTATAACCAAACAAATATACACGCAAATGACACCAAACATCTACAGGTAGGGCAATGCCCAAACCCGCTTGTCCTTAAAAGCGACCAATTTTCGAACGATCTAGCTTGAAATGTTGCTTTATTGTTATTGCAAAACACAGTTCCTGCTATTGATTACTTAAATTTGTGATTCCTTCTTTTGGATCCCCCCCTCCCCCCCCCCGCACGTTCTTTTCCCCTAGACATTATATCAACTGCTCAATATAATACCCCGTGATACGTCCCTTTCCAAAACACCGTATGGCGGAAGCTTACACATTATGATATATGTGAGGCAGCGTGGTGGTATCAGGCTCTCGTCAGTTTTGGGGCATGTAGAGTTATTGTCATCATCTTAAAGCTTGTTCACTTGTCTTTATTTAGGATGAAAAAATGTCCATTTATCTTGAATACAACTCGAAATATTTGCCAAAGAAGGAGATGGGGGTCACTTGTTTTCAGGGGTAAAATTAGTGAGAAAACGGCCGTCAAAGATTAGTTATTTCCTTCGCTTAAGAGTCCGTGGTTACTGAAAATTTACATTTTTTGAGACTTTAATCATCGTTTTTCAGAAAAAATCCACACTCAAATGAGTTCTTTAATGGGCATAAAAGGTGTTGAGCCAAAAAACAAAAATTTGATAAAAATTCACAAACCTGCGGAAAAATGCAAAATTTCGTCACTTTGACTATTTTGACGAGAGCCTGATTCCACCACGCTGCCTCACATATATGTCACGACCTGATGGAATCAGACGTTCGTCAATTTTGGTGCATGTGTAGTTTTGGGTTTCGTCTTAAAGCCTGTCCATTTACCCTGCTTTCGATGCAAAAAAAATATATTTATCTTCGAGATATATATATATATATATATATATAATATATATATATATATATATATATATATATGGCTCTTTTCATCTATGCAGACGGTCAATTTAGCTTAAGATGGTGTCAAGGTTTTCTTCATGCAGCTTCTTTCATGGTTAATTCTTCCTATGTTTGAAGCGCAGATTCTGTCGCAGTGCTTGCATGTCAGTGACGTGGATCGAATCTCTGTATTTCCGCTGTTTTCCTTTCGTCGTTGGCGCTTCTCAGCCTGGTTGTTTCTAAGGCTGCTCTCTATCATTATCTTCAATACAAGTCAAGATATTGGCTATTGAAGGAGGTGGGGATAGCCTGGTTTCAGAGGTAAAATTAGCGAGAAGAAGATCACCAAAGTTTAGTTGTTTCCTTTGCTTGAGAGCCCGTTGGAACTGAAATGTTTTTTATCTTCCAAACCTTTAGTCAACGTTTTTCAGTAAAAGCCACACAGAAATGTATTTTTAATGGACATGAACGGTGTAGAGAGAAAAACAAACCCCCCAAAAATTGATAAAAATTCCCAAACCTGCGGAAAAATATCAGTTTCTTCATTTTCATTATTTTGACGAGCGCCTGATTTCACCACGCTGCCTCACATATTATTCAACACTGAGGAGTAGTTCTATTTGTCAGAAACGCTGGCTTGCTTTTCTCAGCAGAGAATATTCACTGTTAGTCTATCTCTTTAGCATACAATGAAAAAAAAAGAAGAAACATTTGTAATACGGCACAGTTAGGTTGGAGGAAATAAACGGTGCTGTTGATACGTGTAAAGACACATGTGTGCCAAAGCTAAGCATGCATGTTTCGGAGCAGTACACCCCAGCCATAGCAAATTGATACAAGTATATGAAAGTACCTGAAATAAGATTTTGAAAAACAAATTTTAATAAAGGGCTGCAAAGGGGGTAACATTAGCAGTAAAAAATAATGCAGTTAGAAAAATAAACAAAAATAGGAATAGTTTCTACATCATAGTTTTGCATATCATTGTAGAAAGCAGAGATTTTCCAGCTGAAATCAGAATTACCACAGCAAGATAGTTCTTGAAAGCGTCAAAATAAGAGTTGCAAAAAAATGTTATGCTTTTAGAAAAAAAAATGTTAACATTACAAAAAGAAAAAGAACCATGAAATTGTACAATAGGGTACAATCCTGAAACCCTTTTGGACACCTTAAACGACATCTGATTCAACGATTTGACGAATCAATTGAATGTGGAGCCACTACT